AAAAAAAAAAAAAAAAAAAATATTTAGTATCAGTTTAATATCTGATACGTCCTCTATCCGAGGACAATATATTAAATGGATTTTTGGAAGTAGGAGTTGGAATAGGAGCTTGCTCCGTCCACTCCAAGCATCGACCTGGTATTGCAGTACCTCCAGGAACGGTGCACAAAAAAAAAAAAAAAGATACTGTCTTAGGGGTTGTAGAGATGGTTCAGTAGTTAAGAGTGCTTGTTCCTGCAGAGGACCCAGGTTCGACTTCCAGCCCCCGTGGGGTGGCTCACAACCATCTGTAACTTCGGTTCCCGAGGATCCACACACCCTCTTCGGCCCTCTGTGGGTGTACCTGATACATAGACATACATGCAGACAAAACATTCACACGCATAAAATAAATAAATAAATAAATCTTACAAAGAAACTTTTTAAAAAGATTGTTTTAAAGGGAAGAGACAACACTAAAAGGACCTATGTCTCTTTTTCAACCTTTTTCTCCACTTACATTCCATACTCCAAGGAAATTATGTGGCAGGCCCTAGAGCCAGCCCCCAGCATCACAAAAGGTGGAAGTGGTAGGGTATGATGGTTCCGGTCTCCTGGAACCTGGGAGGTGGAGGATGGAGATCAGGAGTTCAGGGTCGCCACTGGCAGGATATTAAGTTTCAGACCAGGTTGGGCTAAGGGAGACCCTGCTGAAACTGCCAAGCAACAATCCAAAAATAAACAATAAAAAAACCAAATAAACAAAAACTCACAGTGATTTGTAAATTTACCGTATTATAAGTATAAAATGCCAAGAGGAGATTATGGGTTCTGTGAGAAACAATGTCTTAACGGTATCAGCTCACTACAAATTCTTTCTTTTATTTCTTCCTCCTTTCTTTCTCTTTCTTTCTTTCTTTCTTTCTTTCTTTCTTTCTTTCTTTCTTTCTTTCTTTCTTTCTTTCTTTTCTTTCTTTCTCTCTCTCTCTCTTTTAATTTTATTTAATTTACATTGGTGTGAGGGTGTCGGATCCCCTGGAACTGGAGCTACAGACAGTTTTGAGCTGCCATGCGGGTGCTGGGAATTGAACTCAGGTCCTCTGGAAGAACAGCCAGTGCCCTTAACCACTGAGCCATCTCTCCGGGGGGGAGGGGGGTTCCAATTTGTTTCTTTTTCACTTTTTTCTTTCTGTACTGGGGATGGCACATGGGGCTTTGTGCCTGGATATGTCAGACTCTGAGCTAATCCCGATTTCTTAAATTTCTTTCATCTCAAATTCTCTCCGGAGAATAAGGCTGGACATAAATATGGTCATCTTTAGGCATTGCTTAGCACGATGCCTAGGATTCGTCAGAAATTCAGTGTTCAGAAACACATGGATCTGAAATACACAGACGGCACGGCGGCATGCCCCTGTGGTCTCAGGTACGAGGAAGGTGAGCGGAGTCACCAGAGCACCTGAGTTCAGTGCTACCCCAGACAACCCAGTGAGACACACAACAGAACCATTCAAAAACCAGGCAAAATAAAAGGAGAATTGTACTAAAAAGTGAAAGTTGGATCCGATTTAGTGATACAGTTTAGAGCCTGAGGGTTATATAGGAAAATCCAAAATATTTTTCAGACCTAAAGTCAAGTACTGAGGAACCAGAGACAGCATGTGTCTCCCTCCGGATCGATGATCCTTCCTTTACCTGTGGCTGACTGCTTGGGCTGCTGACAGTGCTTACACTTTTGAACCCTGGCTCTGTCTTTTACTAACTGTATTGACTTTAGGTAACTATTTGAAATTTCTGTAGCTCTGCTTTCCCATTGGCAAAATACGTTACTACTTTAGAAATTATACAGGGAGGGGGCATGGACACGTAGGAGAAAACGTGATCCTTTTCTTCCTCTTCCCACCCTACTCTCTGGTCCCCAGCCCCCAAACTCCCTTCTCCCTCATCATGGTCCCTTCTACTCTCATGACCTGGGCAAGTGTATATGTAAGTTCAGACCTCATCTAGGAGAGAACACATGCACCTGCACACAAATGGACACACACACACACACACACACACACACACACACACTTCAAAACACAAATGAGTCCTTTTAAGGAAATGACGTCACAAGGAGGACTCCAGTTATGCCAGAAAATCTCGTAGGTGAAAGATCACTATGATAAACCAGAGTAAGACCACAAGAGTTTCCTCGTTTGTTTCTCAGAGTAATGACCTCCCTGAACACTGTTCATCAGCTTAAGGTTTT